AGCCACCACACCCAGCCCAGAGCTGCCATTTTTAAAGATGAAATGGCTATAGCAACATAATTACATATTGCATCTGGTACAAGTTCTTGGGTTGATCATTTACAAGCATTCCATAGCCTGGAACCAAGGGGATTATATCTTCCTCTTTGTCATCTTTTTCATTTTCCTACCATCCCTGGGATCCAGAGAAGGGGAGAGGCCTGAGCAAGATGAGGAAATACATAAACCACAGAAAATTCAAGGTGTCTTCAACCCAGGAGCCTAGTTTTTGTCTTTCAAGTTTATAGACATGGTTGTAGGCCAGGAGGAATAGTGATTTTTGTCACTTGAGAAAATGTGCCCCGTGGGCGGCACCTGTGGCTCAAAGGAGTGCCTCATATGCCGGAGGTGGTGGGTTCAAACCCAGCTCCAGCCAAAAATTGCTAAAAGAAAAGAAAAGAAAATATGGCCCACCTCTGAAGTGCGTATCTTCCTTCTCATCACTGCCTCAGCATCCTAATTCCTATTAAGGGTGTCATCTGGTTCTTTACCCCTTCTTTAGATGTTCTTAAAGTTAACTTTGAAATACATTATTATTTATACCTTCAATATCTTGTCAGTCTTCCACAGAAAACTAATTTGCAGCTTTTACTAGAATTTTAACACTAAATAAGTAGTTCATTGCCATCATTACACATATAATTTGTTTTTGTTTCAAGATTTAAGATTTGTGGGGAATTTAAAACATGCCCTTTTTTCTCCTTTGGCCTGCATATTCAGGATCACAAACTCTGCATCACTGGCAGCAGCTTGCTCAACCAAACTTGGGGACAATTTTTGATCCACGACCAGGTGTTATTACTAAAGGATTTACCCAGTTGCCCAGTGATGCCATCTATCACCTCTCAGATTTAGAAGAAGATGAAGAGGAGGGTATCACTTTTCAGGTTCAGCAGCCTCTTCAAGTAGAACAGAAACCTTCAGTATCCAACCCAGTAACGGGGATCTTCCTACCGTCCATTACTTCAACAGGAGGACCAGTTACAGGTGAGAAGATTTGCTTAGTCAAAAAGGGTCTAATAACCAGAAGTGCTTGGCATTCTGACTTAATGTGTGGTCACCTGGCTACCTCTGCTCACTGGTGTGTACACAGTCTTGGATACCAGATAATGAAAATCAGTAGCACCAGTGGCATTCATAATTCTCTCCACTTTATCGTAGCTAACCTGCATAAATAGACTGGACAGAGAGATAAATCAACTCACTTAGTGGTTTACAAACCTTCTCCTCCACCCCCAGAGTCTCACTATGTCACCCTCAATAGAGTGCTGTGGCATCACAGCTCACAGCAACCTCAAACTCCTGGGCTTAATCAGGCATCCTCAAACTACGGCCCGCGGGCCACATGCTGCCCACCTAGGACATTTATCCAGCCTGCCAAGTGTTTTTGCCATTGCTGCCTGTCCTACTTAGGCAGCCAACTCATCCCAGGGCCCGCAGTCCGGCCCTCCAACAGTCTGAGGGACAGTGAACTGGCCCCCTGTTTAAAAAGTTTGAGGACCCCGAGTAAGTGATTGTCTTGCCTCAGCCTCCCAAGTAGCTGGGACTTTAAGTGCCCACTACAACACCCAGCTATTTTTTGTTGCAGTTGTTTTAGCTGGCCTGGGCTGGGTTCAAACCCGCCACTTTTGTTGTATATGGCTGGCACCGTAATCACTGTGCTACAGGCACCAGTTTACAAACCTTTTAGGCTCACGATCTCGTTATACTCTTAAAAATCATTGAGAACTCCAGAGGGCTTATCTATGTGGGTTATATCTATTGGTATTTATAATATCAGAAATCAGAACTGAAAAATTACATTTCTTAGCTCATTTAAAATAGTAATTACATGTTACACAAATCATGTTTATGAAAATAGTAAGAAAAATGGTTTTGTTTGATAATTGTTCAAGTCTCTAACTTGGGTCCTAATATAAGATAGCTGAATTCTTGCTATCAAGTGCTGCAATCTATTGCAGTATGTAGGACTGAACAATATGAAGAAAATGTAGGTTCAAGCAACATGAAGTTGGAAGAGGAAAGCATATTTTGATAGTCTTTTCAGATATTTCCAGATATTCTTTGATAATACACAAACAGTAGGTAACTAGTCTTTCTTGAACATGTACAGCAACGTGGAATCTGAAACCCTAGTGAGGCACTGTCCATGCTTTGGCACATTAAAATGCATACACTTTAAACGTATCTTTTACCGTGCATGATTATATACTATAGTACATTGGTCACTTAGAAAATACTGGTTTGCTGAGTTACACAGATTTTCCAATTACTGACATTTCATTATGTAATGTATGAAAATCATATTAATGTCACCACCTATCTCATCAGAAAAGCCTTAAAGTATTAAGAAGCTTTCCAGTTCTCAGTGGTGGATACAGGTTTTCCAAAACTCTGATTTTCACTTGAAAGCTCTAATTTTGTCACTGAAAAAAAATATTATCACCTTTTTTGTGTGTGAAGGGACAAGAGTCCTTCATTCATTTTCAAGAAAGGTCCGTCAGACACCCAAGACTGAATAACTAGTTTGTCTGTTGTACTTTCAAGTAAAAATGATGTTCTATGGGCTTGGCGCCTATAGCACAGCAGCTAGGGCACCAGCCACACACACCGGAGCTGGCAGGTTCGAATCTAGCCCAAGCCTGCCAAACAACAAGGACAGCTACAACCAAAAAATAGCCAAGCATTGCGGCAGGTGCCTGTAGTCCCAGCCTCTTAAGAGGCTGAAGCAAGAGAATCACGTAAGCCCAAGAGTTTGAGGTTTCTGTGATCTCTGACACCACAGCACTCTACCCAGGGTAACAGCTTGAGAATTGTCTCAAAAAAGAAAATGGTGTTCTGTGACAAAATTCCAGTCCAGCTGCACAAGTGCTTTTCCTCTGGATAACTATTGCACCTTAGTATGGAGTAGGAGTGTACTCAATGAGCCCTTCCCTTTCCACCGTACAGAATGATAAAGAGCTAAGAGTCAAGACTTAATGGATAAGTTTGCTGCTTCATCAAGGACGTTCTTAAATGTATCTTTTTTTTTAATACTGCGATTGCATGATGATGAAGAATAGTAATATAACTTGATAACATTGCCTTGATTTGTGCTAAGGAGCCAACCGTTTTACCCACCATTTCCTTTACACCAACAGTGCAAATGTCAACCCAACCAAAAGAAAAGGCCTCCACCTTAGCATCACTATAAAAGCAATTTTGACCTGTGAACTCTCAGAGAGTCTACAGGCCACACTTTGAGAACCAGTGAAGTAGATAGTTTAGCTAGATAGTTTAGACCAGCAGTTCTCAACCTGTGGGTCACAACCCACAGGAACTATATTAAAGGGTTGTGGAGTTTGGAAGCTTCAGAACCACTGGTTTAGATGATTCCTCTTTATTTTTTTAATATATTTTTTCTCCCATTTCTAAGCTTTTTTATGCCTTTTCATTTGCAGTTTTAAAGTATTAAAGGGTTCAGTTATATACTAACCAGTTGATTCTATTACAATCTTTATATATATTTTATTTCCAGATTTGGAGATTTTTAGTACAAAAGGCACTTGATAAATAATAATGAGCTTTTTATATTATTAACCTAGTCTTTCAATTTTGTGTTTGCTCCCCTAAAAATCTCTATTTCAGTTGCAACCTCAAACCCAGGAAAGTGTCTGTCATGCACAAACTCGACATTCACCTTCACAACTTGTAGGATATTACATCCCTCTGACATCACTCAGGTTACCCCCAGGTAAGAGTATCTGGGAAATCAGCGGCCTCACTTCATTCCTCATCTGTGTTTTCTTGAATTTTGTTTTTAAATTACCTTCATTTTAATTTCTAGAATTTTGATTAATTTTCTGTGATAATTTACCTTTAGAATGATTTCACATTATGTTTTCTGAGTTGATCATTATAACTCTTTAAACTAGGCAGGGAAGTGACTATGTATTGTGTAAAGTAAAGCATAGAAAGTTGAGGTGACTGGTCTAAGGATAGACAGCTAATAAAATAACCCAGCTGGATCTATACCCAGAGTTAACCAAATCGCAAAGTTTGCATTACCAGCGCTCTACACAAGCTCATCCTCACTTCTCACCATACCTGCAAGTTCAAGGGGCTTCCAAAACCACTTTAAAGTTCAGTGATTTGCTGGAAGGATTCACAGAACTTGTCTGAGTTTTGTTTCTTTTACTTAAGTTGGTATGCTGGAAAGTTTATGTAGTAATCCTAAACTTAACATTTTGTTCATAATCTTTAAAAATTTTGATATCTTAATATACTGAGTATTTATGTTGAAATGATAGTTTTATTAAGTACTGGTTGTATTAAATACTGGTAACATTTGTTCTGGGGAGAAATCAGCTAAAAAAGAACCCTATTTCATCACCATTTCCTTAAATACCATGCTTTCCTTTAAGCATTGAATAAGAAGGAAGATTCTAAGAACCATCAAAATTTTATTTATTTTAAATTTCGTAGAAACATATATTCCAAGTCAGAGTTGAGAAAAAAAATCACCCATGAGTATCCTTATATAACATTTTTTAAGAAAATGAAATTTAAGAATTAGAAGTTTATTATTTTTCAGTGATGTAAAACTAAAAGATTAAAAATAACAAATTTTTCCTTAGAAGAGCATTTTATATTTAATTATGAAAGATTATATTTTATAAAAAGTTGTATAATTGTCTAGTCATGGATTATTATCTCTTGGTATATTTCACTTTATGGAATGGATATGTTAATAAAAATTTCTAAATATTACTTTCCTTAATCTTTAGATTTGATTCAATTCCTATCATAAAATTTAGTTATATTTCTACAGATACACAATTTAGAGTTAAAATTTAAGAGTAAAGGCATCTAAGAGTACAACAACCTTTTCATATCCTGCTAGAAAAAAATATGTTTTAAGAAGTTAATAACTAAGATACAAATTACAAATAATTAACCAGTCATTGAAGTATTGTCAAAATGTTCATTCCTGAGATCTATTCCACAGGGTACAGTTACTGATGTCTTGGCTTTCACTAAGGATAACTACTATTGTTATTTCAAATGCCAACTTGGGGATTGCTTTTTATTCTTATACACCTTCTCCCACTTGTTTTTTCCCAGCTCTGGGTTCCCTTCATTATCCTGTGGAAGTAGTGGTAGCAGTTCATCAAACACGGCTGTGAATTCTCCTGCCATGTCCTATAGACTCAGCATTGGTGAATCTATCACCAACCGAAGAGATTCTACTATAACCTTCAGTAGCACCATGAGCTTGGCCAAACTTCTACAAGAGCGAGGCATCTCTGCCAAAGTGTACCACAGTCCAGTTTCAGAGAACCCCCTCCTCCAGCCATTCCCTAAAGTCCTAGCCACCCCTTCCACACCACCAAATTCACCATCTCACTCACCTTCCCCTCCTCCTTTGCCCTTTGAGCCTCGAGTACATCTCTCTGAAAATTTTTTGGCCTCCCGACCAGCTGAAACATTCCTCCAGGAGGTATATGGCTTGAGACCCTCCCGGAACCCTCTTGACATTGGCCAGTTGAAGATGAATTTAGTGGACAGGCTGAAGAGACTGGGGATAGCCAGAGTGGTCAAGACCCCTGACATCAAGGAGAATGGAAGAAGCCAAGAGGCAGAAGTTGGTCTTCAAAAGCCAGATTCTGCTATTTATTTGAGTGCAAGTAGCAACTTTTTGGGTGGACTGAGGAGGAATCAGAGTCTTCCGGTCATGATGGGTAGCTTTGGTACCCCAGCTTGCACATCCTCACCCAAAATGGGTATCCTGAAGGAGGACTGAGGCCCAGCAGTTAGCTGACCTCCTATACAGATGAGCACATGAAAGGGAGTAAGCACCACTAGTACATGTGGTCTGATCTGACTTGTGAACAAAGGAATGTTGCAGAAGGGTTGTGAATGTGGAAGAGGGAAGTGGAGGAATGGAAACAAATTTGGGATAAGGCCCTAGTGGATAAAGTGTGATAAATTGAAAGTATAAATGAATAGGCCATGAGTGTTTGGAGGCAGAAAAGGAAGTAAGATTTAATACACTCCTTCAATTGAGTTTTTTAACCTTGAACATAAAAATCAAATAGAAAATAAATTCAGTAATATTGAAACATACCAGAGATAACTGAACTTCCAATAAGCCTGGACAAGGAGCACCGGGTTAGAAAGATGGGATAAGAAAAGGAACAGCTGTGACTCTTGCTTATAGAAAGCTGTTCCGAATGGTTGGTGGAGTAGGTTCAGTCTGTTATCTGAGATAACAGCGACATGGCTGATATGTTTCCCCTGCTAATGTTGGGTTAAATTATGCATTCATCAAATGGTATGCTCACAGCATTAGCAAAGCAAGGAATTTTATCTTTTTTATTCAGAAGTGAAGACTTCTTTTTTTCCTTTCTGTTTGCAAGCCACTGGCAGCCCAAACAAACACCACTTATATTCCTGTGTACTTATGATTAATAAAAGTTCATTTTTTAAATTGGCATTTTTATACAATCTCCAAAAAGAACCCAACATGGGTAGGATGTGGGAGGGATTTACTTTCAAGAAGGAAAATTTGGGTAAATTGGAGCCAAGGAAACTAGTTTTTAGAACATTTCTTCTGGATAAGCATAGTAGTGAAGGAATATAAACATAATTGCATGTCTTTCAAATTTCCTTGTAGGTTGAACAGGGTTAAACCAGAAGTGCAATCATAGGAATTAGGGAATGTTATATATTTATATATGTAAAATTTTTTGTGAGGAAAGTTGGTTGCAACTTAAACCAACTTTTCCCAAAGTACGCTATGCATATTTTTAATGAAAAGTGATATATGTTTGCACAAAAATTCTCAGGCATATTAAATTATTATAAGCTGAAGTAAAATCCAGGTGCTTGCTTCAAGATTTTGTTTTTTCCTAATATAAAATAAAATTAAAACATATCTGCCTTGTTCTTGATATCTATAGAGGGAGAATGAACTTCTTGATGGGTGAATCAAACCTTTTCCTCTGAGGTTTTCTTTTTCTTTCTTTTCTTTCTTCTTTTTTTTTTTTAAACAAACTATATGAAATGGCAAAGTGAGACTCCAGGATTAGGTTCCAGCGTTCAGCTGTGTGACACAAGGCTATGAATTGGAAAGCAGCAGATCTGTTTTGTGAGTGTTGCTGACCAAGGTCTGCTTCTCGTCAGATGACCTGGTTTTGTCTAAGCAGGGCGGTTTAGGAAGAAATACCATTGTACAAAAGACATAAGGGAGGGGGCTACTTTATTTATGAAAATGGGAAGCTTATTACTTGATCTTTTTGGTGCTTTATTTGCAAATGTTTTCTCCTTTGTCCTTACTGAACTGAAAAGCAATTTTCTGAAGAATTCTTGGCTCTTGCTTGTGTGGTTCCTATTGGCAAACCCATTCCCAGGCCAGGAAGGGTCCTTCCTCTTTGCTTTTGGGGTGCCTCCCTTAATGAAGAGCTGTGTGCTCAAAAGGCTTGAAAAACCAACATGCATGCAATGGTAAGAATGTGTGAGATTTTCCATACTTTATAACTTTTCTGAATAACTTTCTCCAAAACAAAGGGTGAAGATATCCTCTCCCTTTCTCTCCCCTGCATTCAGTCATGGTGAGGCCAACAAGATACACATATACTTTCAGAAAGAATTCCCACATGTTCATAAGGGAATGTAATTCCTGATGTTTATATTTCCTAAATATTCCAGTTTACTTTTTAAGAAATACATTTGAATATCTATTTCATAAAGTGACTCTGGTATGCTAACTTTAGCCAATTCTTAAGGCTTTTTATTTGTTCCCTGGGAAAATAATCTTTCTGTTTCCTGGACATTTATAGTTTCCAAGAAACATCAGGAAGTGCGAAATGTATGGCCAGGGAGTAGTACAAAGTTGAATTATCAGAATTGTGTATTATATAAATAGAAATTAAACTAGTTTTTTAGTGTTTTGAGTATAATTTGTATACTTTTTATAATCAATGATTAAATGATCACTTTGGAGACAGAGTCAAGGCATATTAGCAGCCAAATAAACACATCTAATCTAAGGCTTAGGTTTTTGAAAATTAGACTTGTTTATTCCACCCAAAACACAGTTTCATGCGGGTGCATTCTTGTTTCAAGAAATGAGTCCTATCTTAAAACTGGATTTTGCTGTTTTTGAGGTTGCCACCTAAAATCATTTTTGGTATACCCCAAGACACTCTAATAATCACAGAATTATCTGCAAAGTATAGTAAGAAGAAATGGAGCCTTATGGCAAGTTCCTTTCAATTTACCTATTAGGTTCTGGTACTGTTCACATTTTAGTTTTTCTATAGTATCTATTTTATATGTATTTTCATGCCAGTATAGGAAACCTCAGTCTTTTTTTTTTCCCCTTCAAGGTTTTCAGTGAGTATACCTCAGGTATTTCTGAGTATCCTATAAGGTAGGAGAGAGATCTTCATGAGCTCAGAATCAAAAGTTCTTCTGAATTAAGATCCCAAATCTTATGTGAATAGCCTTAGGTGTGGATCATGAGGGAGAAGTTAATGACTATTAAAGTAGTTATTTGGAAAGTTTTATATGTTATTTGACATATGTGAATAGAAGTTGGCAAGAGAGGAATTAAGTTAGAGGCAGCTCTCAACAAGAGCTTATTCTCTATGAAAGGTATATTTTATGCAGTATTCAAAGCTTGTTATTTTTTCTGACCATTTCAGTATATAATTAGTGCTTGGTTACTAACATCAACTTTTGAAATCTGGAACTTTGGCTCTTAGTGTTTCGTGGGCCACCTCTCTGAGGTCAGGTGTCAGATGCATGCAGACCTGTCCTAGGCGTGCAGTGCACCAGCGGCACTGGTAACCGAGCGGTCCTGCTGTTGAGCACAGTCACCCAGGAGTGGGCACACGCCCACTGGGGCAGCCAGGGAAATGCTGTTGTTTGATATCTCAGATTTGATTTTGTCAAACATCCCATTGTGCACCTACCTTTGTTTTGTCAGATGTAAATCAATTAATAAATATGAGTAGGTTCGTAAATTTTCATTTGTCCGACTGTGGTTTTGTCCCAGCTATTTGCACAGATAATCCTGCACTAAGTCTTTTCTTTCCATTATGTTGTTTTTGGTCAGAAAATGACCTCTATTTATCAAACCAACACACACAAACCACTGATAGTCATAAGTAGTAAATAGATTTTATTATATTTTCTCAGTTTTTTTTAAGAATATTGTCAATATATACCATATTTCCTTAACAAAACAAAAACAGCAACAAAATAAAGTTTAAAATCATTGATACTCAGATAGTAAGTTTGAGAAGATTCAGAAAGTGGGAAGCAATTCTTTTGAATTACCATATTTATGTGCATTATGTAAAAAGAAATTAAACTATTTTTAATGTTTTGAATATAATTTGTATACTTTTTATAATTAGTGATTAAATGGTCACTTTGGAGACAGAATCAAGGCATATTAGCAGCCAAATAAACACATCTAAGAGTGTCAGCACAGTGTCGGCTGCTAAGCGGGACAGGCAGTGGCGGCAAAAACACCCGGCAGGCCAGATAAATGTCCTAGGTGGGCTGCATGTGGCCCGCAGGCCATAGTTTGAGGGCACCTGCTCTTAGCTATTAGAAATAGTTTATAAGAAACTAAATGTTAACAATGTTAGACTCTAAAAGAAAAGGGCCTTTGGTGTTCTATCTCTTTCACAATTTGATTTCTGTATTTTTTAAGCTCATTTAATGTCCATTTAGAATTAGGAACATTGACAAAATGTTTGAAGTTGAGTGCTACTCTCAGCATCTTTGTTTTGTGTCTCATAAATGAATGTCAGTAGATGTATGTTTAAGTCCAAACTCCTAACAAAGGTTAAGATCAGCGGCTTTGGCTCAGCGCCTGTGGCTCAAGCGGCTGAGGCGCCAGCCACATACACCTAAGTTGGCGGGTTCGAATCCCCAGCCCGGGCCCGCCAAACAACAATGGCTGCAACCAAAAAATAGCCGGGTGTTGTGGCGGGC